TATTGTATCTAGTATAGAACTTGCGAAGCATTAACTTTAACCAGAAGTGTTGATAACCTTCTATTATAACTTTAATAATTCTACAGTAGCTGCATTTTCCCCCTGGAATGTGTTCCTATGTGGAATATAGTCTTGAGTACTGTAAAATCACATATTTTCGTGGGGTCAAATTTTCGTTGTTTGAAAACTCTTAGTTCGTGGGGATTTGATTTCGTTGATGTAGAATTGTTGAGTAGTTATGTATGCCGCGTTTTACATTTCGTGGTGGAGTCATTACCGGGTAATGCATTGGTCTCTTCACACCTAGAAAACAAAGAAAATTAAACCCACACGAAAATTTGTGATTTCACAGTATCTAATCAACATCTGCAGGTGAAAAAGGTATCAATTTAGCTACATTAGTAAGGGATGTTGGCGATAAAAAGTGAAGGTCAGCACGTTGATCAATATGATTATTTGCTCTTGTTGATATCATTAAGAGAAAATCCAACATTTTTGAGGATCTTTCTCGTGGTACTTGGTAGTAATATTAGAATCATGGTTTCTAGAAGATCTTCCAAAAGCATGGATTGAAAATCTTTCAAACTTAGGATATCATTAGTTCACTCCTAAGATTTTCTCTTTTCTTGTTCTTTGTTTTGTTTAATTTGTTTTTGCTTTTTATTTTGCAAATCGTATTCCTTATAAATTTTCTGTTCTATATATGACACTGAAGTTATTAATAAAATTTATGTAAATTGCCAATGCCAATTTATTTTGACATACTGTTAAATGACAAATTTTCGTGGTGGTTTAATTTTCGTTGTTTTCGAGGTATGACAAGACCCACGAATTCATGTCCACAACGAAATATAAAATGTTACATACATAAGTACCCAATAATTCCTGATATACGAAATCAAATCCCCTCGAACAAAGAGATTTTCCTCAAACCACGAAAATTTGACTCCACGAAAATATGTGATTTTACAGTAATAACTAATTTATGGAACTTCTCGTTCATTAACCTTTTCGTGTACTGTTGTAATTCCAACTCACATTTATTGTACTATTAATAAAATATTTCACATGTACACTTAGGCTATAATCTATATAATGATAATGCATAATATCAATGATTTCAATTACATTTTAAGTAGCATGTAGATTCGTCCATTCTCATCCTAATGATACAGAACATAGTCGTATGAGAAGCGCCTAGTTACCGTATTACTGAGAAGTCCTGTAGTAAAAGCTTAAGAACAACTAAGAAACTTTGAACTATTTAATTTATTAAAAAAATAAAAAAAAAATTTATATTTCTGGATTTAAACAAAACGTTAAAGGGAAATGAAACAATAACTATGGTATTTTGACGTAAATAACACCTACAGCAATTATCATCCATACATAAAGACCAAGAAGAATATATGTGGATATAAGAATAAGATATCGGGTATGCAAGTATTTTTCTTAAAACATCGGACAAATATATGCAATTATATAATATTTTCTGTATATATAAAAATTTTGTCGCATATTTATTCCTAAATTTTTCTATTTAGAGACACGCAAAACCTATGGCAGGACTATTCTCAATGCTGAATATACGCTATATCGGGGGAATTTAGATTAGAAGAACATGCAAGGACTGTTATGAACAAAACATAGATGGCGTGACAAAATCTCATATCTCGCGAGAACGAGAAAAATGTCAACGTTGATGTTCCTATCGATGTCTTTTGTTTAATTGTTGTTGGGCTTTAAAGCGGTAAAGAATTCGGGTATTTCAGATGTATTTTTTCAAGGCAAACAGAAGAAAAGATATTTTTTGATCTATTCATAACGATAAAAAAGCAAAGATTAGGTCACTGGAATGAATAAAATTTTGTCAGCAAAGGGACACAAAATTGGGCTAATTTCTCACCGTTCAAAATTAGAATGCTCAATAATCACTGGTGATAAACAAAAGGGGTGTCCATAGGATACTTTAATCAAACTGAAATAGATACTCCAAACAAATCAACTGGATAAAATAATTAAACTTAATACTTTAATGACATATTTCTAAGTCATTTTAAATGTGTTATGGAATGTTAAATTGCCTACGTCACAATGAAATGATACATTTAAAGTACTAAAATACATTTGTCAATAAATTAGTGAAAAAAAACTCTTACACAGATTAAAAAAAACTACTGGTATCTTCTCGACATAAACAATCAGATACCGTGTGTGAATTTCAACAACACTGCCAATGAAATATACATGTAGTACATGTAGCCGTAACAAACACGCTAGCATATAAATTATAATTGCCGTTTAAATCAATATTTGAGTCTTGAAAAAAAGTTTCTAAACGCTTTAGTTTCTGAATGGTCTTAAAATTCTTTAAGTTACATGGTCAGTAAAGTTGCATCAATTTCTTACGAAAATTAAATTTGACACTTAATTCTTGGTTTTCAGCAGACCTATTTTTGTATTCATTTGAAGCAGAATTTTTTCAAAAATCTTGTACGTGAAAAGAATAAAAACACTTGCTGTGGCCTTCAACTCGACATTTAGATACATTGACGACGTATTGCCAGTTAACAATGGTAATTTCCATTCTTATATCGATACGATGTATCCCGGTGGGCTTAAAATAAGAGATACTATAGAGTCTGACTCATCCGTTTCATATTTGGATTTTTTACTTGAAAAAGACGATAATGGCAATCTAACAATCATATTCTATGATAAACATGATGTCTTTAACATTTCAATCATCAATTTTCCTTACTTATGAGGCATTATACCTGAGAGCTATATCCAACTGCATCAACATTTTTTGACCATGACCCCACTTTCTTAAAAGAGTGCTTAGGTCAGTTTTAAAGATTGTTATTAAACTTCATGTGCTGATACATATTGTAAAAGTTTGAATATAAACAAAAATCGTCATTTTTGACTTGCTTTTTTAACCTTGACCTCACTTTTCTTAAATGAGTGTTTAGCTCAGTTTTAAAAAATACCTTTCAAGACAGTGTTGTCAAACGTTATATGCTGATATATATACTTATGAGAGCTATTCAACTGCATCGATATTTTTTACCTTGACCTTTCCTCAGACCTTGACCTAACTTTTCTTAAATGACTTTTTATTTCAGTTTTAAAGATACCATTCAAGACAGTTATCAAACGTCAAATGCTGATACATACTGATGAGAGCTATTCAACTGCATCTACATTTTTTGAAATAGGCTTTTCCTTTTGCCTCACTTTTCTTAGATTAGTGTTAAACTTCATATGCTGATACGTACTGATGTAAGCAATTCAACTGCATCATTATTCAAGTTATTCTGAAATTTCATACACAATTTAAATTTTTCATATAAAAAAATTAACATAAAAACTGATTTGATAAACAATGGCTCTTCCATCAATGAACCGTCATGCAACGGTCTACACATACCAATTAGTCAATATTTAGCCCTCTTCATCCTAGATATATAATATAAATGGTTATTTTTAAAATGTTGAATATAAACAAACAGGTCTTTTTATAGTTGTTTTTATGGGAATATTAACTTTGCAGCTTTTTATTGCAATTAAATGTAACCCCCTTATAAAGGGTATGCTTTTATATAGCAAAAGCTGGAATTTTAATTCTTTATTTTTCATACTGATAACCGAAGAGAGAACTTCCTTATTCAATATTTGACAAAAATAAGTAATTTATAATTTAGCATTAGATGAATACAGAAGAAAGGGAAATATTAGAGAAATCCAACTAAGCACTGCTTTCCTGGTACACAAATAAACATATTGATTTGAGGGTAGGGTAAACCCGCAAAATACCATGATTTTTTTTTTGGCCATACATGTACATGTATTTGTACGATTTCACTTATTCGACTAATCTAGTCGAACATTACAGTAAACTTGTCAAAATAATGATATCTTGGATCATTTAAATAACAAAGAGTTCTCTGTATTAAAAAACAGTAATTTTATACGACCTCGGAGATATATGATTAAAGTAAGTAAACTTTTTTTTATATTTATGTTTCATCTATTTAATTACAAACTTAAGGGGTATTTCAGTATATTATATTTTGAATTTTAGTTGAATCTGATTCGTTGAGAAACATTTATTAAAATACTATTACCCGTTTAATGATGAAGCCACGCCCTCCAGCGTAACTGTGGCTTGACGACAGGTGATATTCCAAATAAAAAAATATTGATTTCGCAAAATTTATGCGCTTAAGATTGACTCATAAGCCTTATGTATTTATTTGTATAAAGCAATCAGTATTATATAATAAAAATCGCATGAAGTTGAGTGCATGTAACATTGAAATTTTTCAACCTCAAGACCATTCACAACCTTGGATGAGCATCGGTTGACAATGATACGTTTTCTTAATTGGGATGAAAATGTTTAATGTTTTACTTAAATTAATGCAATATTCATATAGTTATTTCCTTCCTTTTGATTAGGTTTCCTGCATTTTTTTTTTCAAAATTGTGATAAAATGGTCTCATTCATTTATAATTCTCCGTTTGCTATGTTTGCTCATTGACTTCAATATTACTTTGTGATTTTCTCCTAATGTGTTCATGCTCAACTAAAAGAATTTTACAGCTATTTTGTTTTGTGCCGGGTGGTATTGGATTTCCAACTTCTTTCATAATCATGAGAAAGACCATAATTGAAATAAAACGTCGTGTTGATACTTTTAAAATCATTTTAGGTATTAATTTTCAAACCTACAAAAGAATATCGAAAAGGATGATGAAAGCAAACAAACATACTTAAAGATTGATTAAATGAAAAAAAGTCTTCAAATACAATGTCTTCTCTTCAAATATTGCTTGCCCATCCTTCTTCCATTTCGTCACACTTCATGGGGTATGTAGTATACGAAAGTTTTAAAATTCACAGAATTTTAAACTAGCCGGAACTATCATTGTTATATTTTTGAAAAATGAAACAGGATTGTATGCATAAGAAAAAAGACCCCAAAACAGCTAGAATGTCCCACTTGTGTAATTTTTTTTTGCATTTCCAAGTATGATGGAATTGTAACAAGCAGTTGGTTGAAAAGTCTTGAGATATAGCAGGAACAGCAAGGTGATTATAGCTTTTAACTCCTTTATAAATGTGTTTTCAAAATTTAATTGTATGTTGTATTATTTTAATTTTTACTCAAAAATAGGAAAGAACATGAATATCTTGGAAATATTAAAGCAAGCATGGTGTTGGGTTTTTGGCAAGGATAAAATCCAGGATCAGTTGGCAACGAAGCACATCAATGGAGAAGAATCTAAACAACTCAGCTTCAAGACCTTTCTAAAGCAGCCGATCCTAGAGGAGGTTATATTTACCGATTGTAAACCCTTATGGAGGATCAGGATTTGGAACAATCAGCTGTTTTACAGCGGGGACGATAAATGCATCAAAAGCATTGGTCAGACTCCGCATGCTTGCCAAGTCGAAACAGTGACATTCTCTGGGAACTCTCCTGACGATTTTTCGATAACAAATTCGGGAGAAATTATTTACGTAGACTGGCAAGAAAGAGCTGTATTTTATTCACAGAATGGACAGGCGCACCCCATGATAAAATTGAGCGGTTGGAAACCCTGGGCCCTGTGTTGCTCTGACGCCGGCGATATTTTGGTCGCCATGCGATCTAATGACGCTAAACGTGCTCGTGTTGTCGGTTACCAAGGGTCCAAAAAGACGAGGGAATACAGTCTTGATAGAAATGGCCGACCTTTGTACGGGTCCCCGACCTTTATTGCTGAAAACAAGAATGGAGATGTCTGTGTCTCTGATGCCGATTATAATCGCGTCACTGTAGTTGACCAAAAAGGAAATATCAAATTTCACTACCGTGGTCAGCAAGTGGTGAGGAAGTATCCCACATTTTATCCTAAAGGCATCACCACAGATAGTCAGTTCAATATCCTAGTGGCCGACCAGCAAAATAACTGTATACACGTTCTAGATCGCATTGGTCAGTTGGTCAGCTTTATAACAGAATTATCTCTGAACGAACCCTATTGTCTGTGTGTTGGGAAAAGTTATGAACTATACGTTGGAGAGTACCATGAAGGACAAGTTAAGAAAATTAGATACCTCGAGTGAAACAATTAAAAGTTGCACATTTTATTCACCCCACTTCTTCTTATACAGTATATATTCTTATAATGTACATCGACTGCAGTAATATTTGACATTATTTTATAAATGCTGTTTTGCATTACTGCATATTTAGAGACTGCATATTTACGCAATTTGTATCTCTCATACAAATGAATTTGGAAACAAATATCAGTTAATTACTTTTTATTTTATGTTATGGTTAGCCTAATTGTATTTTTCTTCTTCAATGAAAATAGTCAAACAAGTAAATTTCTGAAAATATTTGTTGTAGTGCAAGTGATTATATTCTCAAGTATATTCATTGCTTACTCGTATAAAGTGGGTTTTTATTTGACAAAAGACACTGGTTACATCATTCATATGTTGTTTTTATTACAAGCTTTTTAGACGAATCCTTGGTGCATATCCTGTTGATTGTTCAGTGCATGTACTAGAGATGTTTGAAACCGTGAACAATTTAGTAGGAAAAGTGCTTTATTCTTGGAAACCTATTTTTAGCAGGGAGGTTGGGTACATATACATTCATCACGAAATTCGCGTACTTTATTCTATGTGTATCATCGTATTATCGATGTTTGGGTCGATAGTGCGATAACACGATAATGAGATGACGATGAAGTAATACGCGACAATGAGAGGAAGATGAAACGATGACATGATGTAGCAGTAACGAGACTGTGCAATAGCAAAGGCATGATAGTGCAATGGTGTTTGGGCGATGATATAATGACTTTTAAACGATATGCGTCTTGTCAAAAGGATTACATATTTGAAGTATGAATCCCTAGCCCTACCTGTTTATTAATAAAAATTATGGCCAAGGTAAAAGTTTTTAAAATAAAAAGGTTATTCTCCCAGGTCAAAGGGTTAACGATGTTGGTATCCAATGGAAGGAACTGTCACAAGATTTACATATGTGAAGTCCAATTACCGGGTAGCTCAAAATTTTCAAAAGTGATGGCCAAGTTTGGTAAAATTTTGCAAAATGGGTCAAAATCCAAGGTCAAAGCCAAAGGGTCAAAAGACAGTACCCAAAGAAAGGTCTTGTCACAAGAAATACACATGTAAAATATGAAAGCCATAGCCTATACCAATCAACAGTTATGGACAAGGTCAAAGTTTTAAGGACAAACAAACACACAGACAGACGGACAGAGCAAAAAACTATATACCCCAAATCTTCGATTACGGGGGAATAAAAAGTGGAAGAAGATTGATTCGCCATCTTTGAAATCAAAAAATCAGTATGAAAGTTATATCTGATTGATAATAAGATTCATTTTCCTTCTTAAAAAAGTTTCACTTGAGGTATTTGAAATAACTGACGTTGTTTATAGTACAATTTTTTTCCGGGGTAAAAGGAGGGTGTGGGGATGATTCTGTCCACTACTTGTCAAAAAAGACTTAAAAAAGGAATCACATATTTTACTTGAATTGGCTTTAACAATTGTGACTAGTCTGTTAGCCCAAATGACCTTTTCCCTTTCCATGGTAACAATGTTGTATGGCACAACTACTCTAGTTGAAGTTTCATTAAGGACGTCTATTAACCTACATCAGAGAGGACAATTTGGCGGAACATGAACCGTTCCACGAACACCTCCAACCCAGACTATAATACGATTCTTGAACTGCTTTTCCATTGATTAGGACAGTTTTTGTGAAATATTAAAAAAAATTCTTCCGAAATGTTAGACTTATGCGCAAATTGGCATCTGGATATAGCGATATTTCATGACCTTTTTAAAGACAATGTTATGTAGATATTAAGTTACCACGTAGAGCTTAACTCTCCAGTCTTAATGTCCTCTGTAGCCCTAAAGGTTGTAAAAACTTCGATTTCCTGGACCACTATCTACGCTTAATTAGCATTTTCTGTAATTAACTCTCACTTTTTACTTGTTTTATCATTACATCGTTGACAATTTAAATGCCTTTCCAATAGTAATATTGATTTCCTCCTGCGAAATCTATGATTAAATTGAGCCTTAACATTCTATGATTAAGGTTTGTAAATGTTTTGGTCTTATCAATTGTGAAATATAAACCAATTAAACTCCAGATTCACATTAATATTTCATTTTTAACGGATCGATTCTATTCTGTGCACTCGCTAACGGTATTTGTCAATTATGCCAGCTTCATGTTTGCAGTGAGTCTGCAAGATTAATGCACAGTGCATGTATTTCTGTTACGTAAAAACGCTTGTCTGTACGTATACGAAGTCAAATTGTCTGCGAAAACAAATTAAGAACAACCATTTGAGAAATATAAACCAGATATATTTCATTTTAAAACAATGCAAATTTGAAGACATTTTAATTAGGACGACAGGTCACGAGATATTTAAGTATCCCCTTTTAAAAAGATGACCTGAAATGGTAGCTAAATAATTAACTTCATATAACCATTTTCGCAAAAAAAAAAAAAAAGGTTTGTATCAATTTTTTGTTCTCATGTAACATGTACCAAACTGAGTTATCAGGGTTGAAACCCGAATGCTTTCAATTGATTACTATAATAGGACATCAACATCTCCAAGCATTCTTACGCATTCTTGGGATAAATTTTATGTAGCCTTATCCAAAGCACACCATAAATAAAAAAAAAAAACTATTTTTGATTAATTTTTCATACAGAAATCAATTGAATGATATCCCGGAAATTCAATTTCGTATTTTATTGCTTTTTTTCGTTCAATGTTTCTAGAAGAATATTTGCTACACAATCGCGTAATTTAATTACATTCTCCCCATTCCGTCGATTAGATCTATTAGGAGTATTAGTTATATAGTTAAGTCTCTTGATGTTTGCCTACTGAGATTTCAATCACCCGGTCCTTAACCATTAATTCTATAGAAGCCAGTGTTTCAATTTCTCTGATTATCAACTCCGATTATCTTCCCGGGCCAGCACGTGCACGCAAAATTTTATCTTCAAAAAATAAGTTTTATATCAAATCATTTTATCTTGTAGACATGCTTAATATGATACATAAAATCACATTAAGCATTAAGAATTTGGGCCTTAATTTCCAAAAGCTTATCGCGTGTGGAGATGGAAGAAATGCGTGGTGAGAACCCGTTTGCTGCAAGTCTTCAATTCGAAACTGGGTATTTTGGTGTTTTTATTGCCTAATAATTGCTCTCATCGATTTGCTTGTATTTAATGTACGTCAACTGATCAACTTATTGCAAAAACTGTGGAGCTATCAAAACACGAATCATTTTTTGGGGAGAAAAGCGCCACCATTTTGTCTGGGGTATTTTAGGATCAGTTTTCTTAATATCGTCTGGGAGACAGATATTAAAGAGATTCTATAATTCAAAACTGACTGATGTTTTAAAGCATATTTCATTTTATTTTATTGCTGTTTTGATCTATTTTTAAAACAGTTTTATCCTTGAGTTTCTCGAGTATCAGTAGATATTTTCTGTTATCTACTTTTGACAAGCAGGTCTTATATTATTCAATATGTTAACATCGTATTAGTACAGATGCACTTTAAAAGCATGCCGATATTCCACGCTTTATGATTAAAATAAAAATGTTTTAAGTAGTAACCGAATATCAAAGAAAACCAAAATAAAAGTTCATTTTCTCGATCACCCAAGATTTTAGGAACTTTGCAAAACAAAGTTCAGGAACGAAACTCTGAGAGAACCATTAACGTCCATGTTTCTATACTGGAACATCATAGACAAGAAACCGATTTCTTACAAAAGACCCCCTCTTTTATTTCCTTTTAACACACCATTCTTGTCGGTCTGTCTTAACAGAACTTCTAACTAATTGGAAAACCATAAACATACGAACCACAAATGCGAAAAAGCGTAAAAACACAATCAGAGAAAACTACAACAAAGCTTGGAGTTCGTGTGCAGAGCAAATTTAATTTCTCTGATTATACCTTCTTCAAAGAAATGATGAGCCAGTCTGCAAAAGTTGCGATGAATGATCGTACTAATCAAAAGTACTTCAATCCTCTTCTCAGTCAGACAGAACAGGAAATGACGTAGGACATTGTCTGTAAATTTCAGAGGGAAATGGGACGATTCGATTTCATCTAGATCTCCATCAAGTAAAGCAGTATTGCTGTAATCAACCGGTTCAAGTTATTTATATTTTATTACACAATCAAAAGGAAATTAGTGCAGTACTTGATCAAATGAACAAAATTAAAGATCTTGAATCTTATATTTCATTTAATCGGAGTAATTAGTTTATTAGTCTTATAAATAGCATTATAAATGAGCATAAAGATATTCCCATGGATACTCACTCTGTTCCTTATAAGCAAACCTATTTTTGAATTAATACGATCGAAACAAAATTTATTTAAAAACTGTAATACGAGAAAAAGAAAACATTTGCTGTGTTCTTCAACTCCACATTATTTATGTATCGTTGAAGTACAAATTTCATTCATATGTCAGCTCGAAATATCCTGGTGAACTTGAGAAAAAAGAACTGCAGAGTTTGGTTCATATTTGGATATTTTGCTACAAAGAGATGTTTATGGTGCATGTTTTAGAACAATGAAATTATTATATTGTTGTGATTAATCAATTTTTTTTCCGTCAACTTCCCTTTTGTACTAGTGAACCTTATTTACCTGCCCATGGGATTCACGGCACCCAGTTGATTTGATGCCCAGCATGCTCTATATATAAGCACACAGTTTGAAACAAGGCAAACTTTTGACAGAGAAAGTGATGGAATAAAGCTATTAGCAATCTTGTTTAAATTCATCATTTCGTATAGACTTTGAGTAGAACAATGACCTTTTCAGCAGATATAATCTTTCACTAAGTGGAAGTCTGATTTACATTTTTCATATCAATATTAAGACATTTTGTCGATATGACAAGGAGCACAAGGCGGGTGTAGTTGATAACCTACGAGTGACTTACGTCTCCATGGCAGCGGATCCTACATCTGATATTTTATAGATCTGTGTGAAATAAAAGAAGAAAGAATTTGAACATTCATAAAGAAGAAAACAGAATATACAAGTTTTGTAACAATAGGAACGAAGCAAAAATAGT